TATCTTGCTGAACAGAGCTTGCCTATTTGGCTAGTCTAGCCAGTCAACTTGCCCCAGGGATACCCAATCTCCCACCATGCAGACCAGGCTTTCACGTGGGTGTGGGGAATACAGAGTCCAGTCCTTCTGCTTGTATGCCATGAGCTTTATACACATCCCCAGCCCTCAAATGCACTTTTAGGTTACAGAAACAAACATTTCTGTGACTTCAACTTTGCAGTATTTTTAGTGAGCTGATAAATTGATGGATACAATAAGAGTGATGTACAAAGTATCAGTTATTGATGCCTATCTTGGCTGAACTAATAAAACATTCTGGCAGTAGCCTTCATGTTATCAACATAGCAAATGAAGCATGAAAACAAGAGGTGATTGCTTATCTCTCAACCTCATTTTACTAGAGATTAATGTCAACTGGCATACTTTGATTCTGAATCTAATAACATTTACAATAACTATACAACCTTTACATAACTATGTAACATCAAATAAAAACCAAAGAAATGATGTCACATTAAAAAAAAAACTTTTAAGTTGAAATATTGTTAACTGTCTCATGGACAACATCACTGTCTAGATCAGAGAACAGAAAGAATTAAAACCAGAGTCCAAATTGCAGAAAATGTAAATGTCTGTAGCACTTACAAGATTGTATGTATGTGAGGTGAACACTCATAGGCCAAATCTAGAGAGGGTCCCAATCCTAAAGGTCAAGCTTCCAACCTTGTTGGATCTTTAATAGCAGCCTACTGACAGCAGAGAAGTTTACTACTTTACTTGAGCTTCCAAACATGAATCAATTCTGGAGAGCAGAAGGCACAGAATCAGGACTCTGGAAAGCCTTGACCACTGTATGGATATATGGACTTGCAAGAGTGGGGCTCTCAGTGGTAATCCTTAAAGGCACAGGCAAGGTTAAAACTAATGGCAAAGCATATAGTCATGGGCAGTAACATATAATGCCAGTATAGCAGGAAAGCCAACCTATTCCAAATGCCCACCTGGAGGGCCAGGCATTAGGCAATTACAAATACGCACTTGAGAAAGGCTCAGGAGGAGTCAGACCACTGTTGCAAGCCAGGGACCTTAAGTATGTGGTGCCATGAGAATACAGGATGAAAGTAATGCTAAGGCCAGGCTGGAGTTTCATAGAATATTAGGGACCTCATATTCTGGGTTTGTGGGGACAGTACATCACCAGGTATTCTTACACCTATACAACCAGGCCATCACAAATTGGGGATAGCAAGGGAAGCCCCTTTCCACTTGCAGTAGAGATGGGAGAGTTTCTGTCAAGAAACTGAACACGCTTACTGCTAATGATTAAAAGTATTCTGTTCACCTCTTCTGAGAATGTGTTGAAGGCTACTGGTACTTTCCATAACCCTGGCTGGTCAGCTTCCATATTCACCTGCTAGATATCCAAATGCTTTTGCAGCAAAAAAAAAAAATAATAATTATATATTTCTACCTAACTGAATACACCAATTTTTCCTGTTATTATTGTTCTCACTTTTCCAAAAGTCTCAATCCCATTGCAGCCATCAGTCAAATTCAGTCAGGCTACCATTGAATATAGTGTTACCTAAATATCAGAAAAGTTAAGCTACAATAAGCTTGTAAATAAACTAAAACTAGGAACCAGAATAGTAAAGTGGTTTAAAAGAATACAGACAACTGCTGCATATAATAAATGGGAATATGCAAAGTAACTCTAATACTTATTTTTCTAATTGATATTATGGTCTGAGTTTTTGAGTTACTTGTTACCTTTTTCTACTATCCAGAAAAACAAACAAATAAACAAACAACAACAAAAAAAAAAAACCTCAGCAGCTTTGAGGTCTTCACATGGTACTATGGCCCAAACTACTTCATTGCTCTAAACCACTCTGCCTTTGTGGTAGGTATCCTTCACTTTTACTGGCCATGAATGGTAGGCAGACTATCACACAGATGTCCTCATCCTAATCACTGTAAGCAAACGTTACAGTGAGAATTTAGGCTTCTGACCCAAACACGGTGCTATCATGGATTATCTACATGGTCCCAGGCTAATCCTAATGGTTCTTAAATGTGGAAAAGAAAAAAAGAAAAACAATAAGCCATTTAATTGTTAAGATCCAAGAATTTGAAGACTTAGAAATGAGGCTAAGTGCCAAAGACATCTGCGGGAAGTCTGTATAAGACAGACAAATTCTCTCCTTATAGCATCAAACATTGCAGCTTTGCTGACAACTTGGTTTCAGCCTACAGATACCAAACCCGGACTCCTAATTTCTAAAATGATAACGTAGCAAAATTAGTATTGTTTTAGGCTGTCTTAACCTATTATAAATGAAAAAGAAAAAACAAACAAACAAACAAACCAGGCAACACAGTTTTTGCTCCTGGAATTACCTAGAAACATGATCTGTAAATTAGAGAAACTATTTACATCTATAATAAATGATAACCATTCAGTCAGTGTTATATTTTTTAGTATTTTATTTGAAATAACACACAGGCAGTACACAAGCAAAATGTGAACTGAAAATATCCTCTCCTCTCTTCCTTGTCCTTTCTTTGACTGCCTTATATTTGGAAGTGCTACATGCTAAAGAACATTTCCAGTATATAAAATCCTTATCAAAAAATCTCAGACTGAAAATAAAAGATGTTAATCTTTTGTACCTTACCTTTAAAACAGCTATTGCATACTAATTCAAGAAACAGAATACCATGTTACAAAGTTGAAAAAGAAATCCATTACTCCACTTCTAATGTTGAAAGCACAAAACTGTTCAGTTTTACAGATCAAGTCCTGGTAAGCGAAAAATCCTATGATGCAACTCAAGTGCCCTTCTGAGAAGACCACAATGATGATGCGGACTCAGATCACCAAGAACCAACAGGTTACGTGCTAGGTGACAAACAGGAAAACATACTAATTCCTTAAGCACAAATCAACTTCTTTATCCTTAAGAACAAATTCTGAGGATAGCCAGCACCTTTGCCACCATGGAAAAGGAGGGCTTTACCAGCTAATCTGAAGACTTCAAAAGTTTAATCAGCTTCATTTAATGCATGTTGCCAGGATTTAATTGAATATAACTGGCATGATCCCAGTACATTTTTATAAAACCAAATCTTAACTAACAACAGAGTATGTTTTCGTAAGAAAGGCATATATCAAAGAAATAAAAAGGCTAGAGAAACATTCTACAAAACAAGCAACTCAAATACATAACAGCATAAGTTCTCTACATACAAAAGTAGTGACTCCTAAACTTAACTGAACATTAGACTCTGAATTGGATTAATGTCCTCTGTCCTGAGTTTGGGGATTAATAGGTCTGTGGCAGAGTCCACAGACTCTGCCATATAACTCATATAACTCATGAGTTCTCATCTTCTTGTTGGTGCTGATCAGGTCATACTCTTCAAACCACTGCATTAGAATACAAAAGGTGGGAGTCGTGGCCTTGTTCTTGTTGGGCAAGGTAAAAGTCCAGACTTCCACTTGGGGCTATGCTCAGACTCTGTGGGGACAAGAAGTAGAAACACCTTTCAAGATAGATGAGAAAGAATCTGTGGTGAATGTAATCCGGCTTTCAGAAGGAATCCTTTCCCTCTGGCTCAAAATCTCAGTGGTATTGATGTTTCTCTTTCTGTTTCTGATGAAGACTAGAAAAGAGCAACTGAGTTGCTGGCACGGGAGTCAAGAAAGAATTAGAGTATCATAGCTGCCTTAAGGAAGACAGGGACCTGGAATGAGAGGGCTACAGCCAATGAACAGTTAACCAGAGGTACCATTTGGGAAAAGATATCCAGTGAGGAGAAACAATCAAAGGCAAAGCATCTGCCTTAGTAGCTGGAAGAAATGGCTTAGTGGTTAGGAAGCAGGATTCAATCTATAAAGAGCGGTAGGCCAGACTGCCAGAGGAGAGATGCTCAGAGTTCTACAAAGTCACAACTGAAGAGTATCAGGAAGCTGCTTTGAAGCAAAGTTCAAATGGTCTGAATATTATCCAGACTGTGCACATCTGTAGACCAAGATCTTCCACTAGAACACCCAGCAGGCCCTCAGCTGCAGTTCTCTGGCCAGCCAATGCATGCACTGTGTCAACTATTCCAAACAGAGCATGCTGGAGAAAAGACGATATGGTCACCCCTGTGAATATGCAAAGCTCCTTCAAAATTAATTCCAGAGGTGGAAAGGTCTTCTTTTTCCAGTAAGAAAATAGTTCAATTAAAGAGAAGACCACTAAAGATGACACTGGAAGATGGACTTGACAGAATCATACCCTATTTTGACAATAATTTACAAAGCTAAAGCCTAGATCAGAAGACAGTCATCAAAGAACACTGTGAAGTATTAACGAAATCTACTTAAAATGAATAAAAGAAACAGGTGGCCCACTCCACCTCCTTGTATCTTTTCCAACTTCTGCAGATATGAAATATTCTCTTCTCTCTTCATACCAGACTCCACCATTCTGTGACCCTCATTATAAGAAAGCCAGGAAGGGCACTAAACAATTTCAAATGGAGAGACAGCAAGAAAGGGCTAAGTAGACTCAACTGAACCATGGTGGGTCTGGGCACATGTGCTCTTTTTCTTCTGATTATGTAAAAGCTTTTTCATTATAACTTATTATGGTTATCATTCCAGAAAGAAGACAGAAATGAGACAAAATGTATCTTTTACTGAATATTTATGACTGTAAATATAAGGCATTTTTGTCAGTATAAAGGTAACCTGTGTTATGCAACTTCCATAGTGAATGCTGAAAAATTCACTATCAATCATAAATTTTATGGCAAAAAAATTATTTGAAAGGCGCAGTTCCAGTCTTGTATGAGAGAAGAACACTCATTAGCAGTAGCTGTAACTATGGGATGGATGTGGCCAGGGTTGGAAAGATTTCTTTGTAAATGTTTGTTGAGATGTTGGTCCTTCTCTCTCGTTAAGTAAGAGAAGCATTTGGATAGATGTGATTATGAGGCATATGTTCTTCTTATTGCTCCTTCAACGTGCTGGAAGACTGAGCTTCCCTTGCCAAGAGCTCTTCAAAGATATCATTGTGCATGTAAAAGAAAACATATCCAGTGGAGAGCCTAGCCTTATGTACAAAGTCCTCTCGTACACTTGTCACCTTTTGATCACTGAAAGAAAACCAACCCCGCCTCTTGAAGTCAAAGGCATCATTGATATAGTGGCCTTCATTGGGACTGCTCCCAATATGGTTAATAATATTAAGGAGCCTGTAAACATGTTCTTCTTTTTTAGTAGGCGTTTGCGGTTCCTCCATGCCAGTAGGCTTTTCCTTATCTAAAACATTTATGTTTCCTGGGGTCTTACTGGAATCTACCGAGGCCTGTGAATCCAGATTTTCGTCCTCGGTATATGATTCTGTAGGTTTTCCAAGGTTCTCTGTCTGTTCCTGGGAGCTTAAATCTGGATGGGTTTCAGTAAGTGTCCCTTGGGAGGTCTGCTTATCACTTGTGTCTTTAATACATTTCTGGGCCTGTTCGTACTCTTGGGATCTTTCTGGAATTCGGAGGTCAATATTTCTAGTAGCCTCATTGATACTACCTGAATCTAAATTACTAAATACATTTTCTTTGTCTTGCTTCTTGACTTGTTCTGACCCAGGTACATTTGTTGTGGCACCTTCTGTCGGATCTTTTGTCTCCACCTTTTCACTAAACAATTTCAGGGCTTTCCTTACACTTGGTGCTTCTGACTCCTTGTCTGATCTAATGCTTTCAGTTGAGAAACCCTTGGTTCTTGAGGTCATCAATAAATTAAATGACAATCTGAGTATTTCAAAACCCAACTCTTCAAGGGGTTTTAATAGTTCAAGATCCTTAACATGTGCATTTTGGCTAAGAGGATGAGGTGGTTTTGTGATTTTATTGCAATGATAAGACAGCCTTAAATATTTGGGAATAATGATATGCTGCTCATCCTTCTTCATTACCAGTGACTCATCAAAGCTATAGCGTTTAAGATGAATTATAATAACCCTGGGTAGCTGGGAAAACTTATGCAGTGCAATAGATCTGTTGTGCATACATCTTTCACATCTATGCTCAACCTCTTCTGCTCTAAAGAAAAGATCAAAACTTGACTGGATAGACAATTTTTGGTCTTTCTTTCCTTGAGGAATGTTGATAGAGAGAAAACTACTTGGTTCTTGCTTGAAAACCGTCAGGCCACAGGCTTTACAAAAAATAGAGCTCAGCAACTCAAATTCAAAATTATTGGCCACAGGACAAACAGGTGTTCTATTGATAACAGTATGGTTAGCAAAAAGCTGTCTAAGTAAATTATTTCCTCCTGATCCATTTTCAGATTGCCACATTATGGTTAATTTTTGTACGGTTTCCTTCAACTGAACTAAACAGAGATTTAGAAACTCATGAGCATCATTCTGCTTGTAGGCAGCGAATATTTCTCCATATGCTGGGAGAGCTTTTGTGATACTGTGAAGTAACTGCTCCCTAGTTTTCAGGTTGTAAATATCTTTCAAAACAAGCAGTTGCATCAAGCGCATGTTAAAATCATCTCTGGGAGGTTTAATCCATGGGAAACCTTGATTGAATAAATCATTAACAAACAGTGGGACGGAGCATAGAGACTGTAATACCACATTTATATAACAGGTGTTGCCCACATTAGGCAGACCTTGCCATGATTTCTCTGGGCACAGTAAGAGTATCTTCATATACTCGTGCCACTTTATGCCTTTCTTAATATGGTGTGGTTCCAAAAGAAATGGTGAAAATAATTTTGCAATGAGATCATGAAGATCTATAACATCCAAGTTAGTCTCTTCAGGACCTTGAGTCACAAATGAATATTCTAATCCTGACGTACTCTGGTCTGCCTCTCTTACACTTGTTTCTTCCCCTTTATCAACACATCCAGACACCACTACCTTTGTCTCAAATTTCTTGCTACCCTTCGGGATGTTCTCCTTTTCCTTCTTTTCTGATTCAGGTAAAAATCGCTTCCTCTTTACATGTTGTTTCTCTAATAACTCTGCACTACCAGGTATGGCTGCTGCTGCTGAAGGCAAAGGCAAATCATGACGTTCTTTGGCTTTTTCCAGGCTTGCTTTTGGATGAACTGCCAGTGAGGAAGAGCCATCAAGCTCCCCTGTGCTTGTGCTAGTACTGCCAGCACGTCCCTCATCATATCTCCTGGATGCTTGAAATTTTTTTTGATAGATTCTGTCTAGGAATTTCTTCAGTCGTTTGGCATCTAAGCTGGTTAGTTTCTCAATAAACAAGAAGTCATTATTTTTAAAAGTTAAATGTATGTAATTCTGGTCTTCGCCATAGGTTCTAAGAACCACACTTCTAATATTATTCTGTAGTTGCAAACATTTAGTCTTTCCAGTGCTGAAATGAAGAACAAGTTTAATTCCCTTTCTTCCTACTAATGTTTCAATTAATGCCCTTCTTGACTTAGACATTCCTGCCTTTGCACTCCATATTTGGACTTGAGTATGTATCGATATGGGATCCATACTTTTTTTTTTCTTTGCAAATAAAACACGTTATCTTAGATTATCAATAATCTTGAAGTTTCAGTTTGTTTCCCAAATTCACCTAAGGAGACAACAAAAAATTTTATATTACTTTTTATACACAAGGATTATTTTTAATATTGGCTTTATGCTAAAAAAATCATGTCCTGGGTATCTAGCTGTTTAGTGACCAAACCAATACCTTTTGAGAGAAATCCATGGTTTTAAAAGGACAGAAATCATGATTAGCAATATAAGACCATGATAAAAAACAGTCCAAGAAAATTTCTTTCAGTTATGAGGAAAACGCTTATATAAAACCCAACTCAGTCCATCGTTTGTTTTCCTTTCTCTCTCTCTCTCTCTCTCTCTCTCTCTCTCTCACACACACACACACACACACACACACACACAATTTATAAATTGTATATCCCAACAGTAGCCCCCTCTGTCAACTCCTCCCAGTCCCATTCTTTCTCCCTCTTCCTCCCTATCCCTATCTCCTAGTCCATGAAAGCAGGAGTTCTTCTCCCCTGTCATCTGATCCTAGCTTATCAGGTCTCTTGTTCTGTGACCTGGAAAGGCCGCATAACTAGGAAGAAGTGATCAAAGAGCAGGCAGCCAAGTTTATGACAAAGACAGTTCCTGCTCCCCTTACTTGGGAACCCACATAGAGACTGACCTGCCTATTGGATACATCTGAGTAGGGGGTCTAGGTCCTCTCCATGCATAGTCCTTGGTTGGTGCATCAGTCTCTGCAGGACACCCTGGGCTCAGATATTTTAGCTTTGTTCATCTCCTTGTAGGTCTCCTGTCTCCTCCATGTCCCTCTGTCCCTCCCTTCTTCCATAAGACTCCCTGCACTCTGCCCAAAGTTTGGCTCTTAGTCTCAGCATCTGCTCCGATCCCACGTTGGATGGAACCTTTAAGAGGACCCTCTACAATAGGCTTCACATGCCTAAACATAGTCAAAGCAATATAAAGCAAGCCTGTAGCCAACATCAAACCAAACTTCATTCTTATACACCAAATCTCCTCTTCACTGCAATATTGGATTTTATTCTGAATAAATTTCATCTTTCCAATGTAAATCATAAAACCCTCAGAAGACTTTTAAGACATAGCTATAAAGCTTACTGAATAGTATCCTGGGTATGTACATACAATATGCTAATCTTCATGTCACACAATGCCCTCACATGGAAACTAAAATAAATATCTAGGCAAATAGAACCTCTTACCCCACGTGCACATGGCTATCCCATGGTGTGGAGAGGAATTCACACATGGGAAAATTAAGAAAATTTATCTACCTCCTTCCAAATCCAGTTAGATCACCTTCTTTTACTTGGCACTGAGGAACTTTCACACATTTTACCCTTCATTGAAAAAGTTAAAAAAGAACAGCTTTCTAACCATCAAATATAGGGTAGGGTGATTTCTGTAGCCAGCTCTGCAAAATTATTCAAATTAGTTCTCTCTACTCAAACCCGGTATGCTAAGTGTTATAGCATATGCTTAGAATGCAAAATATCCAGTGTCAATCCTGAGAACCCCAAATAATTTTAACAAAACCAGAGGAAAGGGATCAGATATATTGAAGTACTAAAAATCTAAAATTTCTGAGTAACATGGGGGAAATTTTGAATTAATAATATCATTCAGTAGTACAAATATTTACATCAGAAAAAATGCTCGATAATTCACTGGAAGTTGTGTTTTCTTCTAAATAGTTAAGATTCTTCCTTAGTCTTGCCTATGTTGTTAGCTACCTCAGCAAACTGTCTTTATGAATATCAAGGAAAACTTCTACTTAACTTGTGCTCAAATGACCAAAAATTGAAAACTGGCAGTACACGTTATATGCTTAGTAAAGTAGTTATGCCCATCCATATATAAAAGTACACATGTACCTAAGTGAAAGAATGACTATATCAGGGTAGAAATGGTTCTGAAAAACATTCAGAAATACCATCAAGTTTAAGTTCTCTAGACTTTTTTTTTTGTGGGGGGGGGGGGGGAGTGTTAAAACAGGTTTTTCTTTCTGTAGCCTTGCTGTCCTGAAAAATCACTCTGTAGATTAGGCTGTCCTTGAACACAAAGATATTTCTGCATCCTGAGTGCTGGGATTAAAGGCATGCACATCACCATCGGTCTTTATTTTGTTTAAACATTCAAAAGAACCTACAACCTAAGAACTAAGTCCCATCCACATTCAGAATTTCTATAATCCCATATCAATGTCAATATGTAAACACACACACACACACACACAGTCATGAAAGAGTATAAGAGAGTACAAGTTCCAGCCAGACTGATCTATAAGGGAAACACTGTCCTCTCAAATTTTGATTTCTTTTCTTTCTAACTATAGTCACAATAATCTAACTTCCTCTTAGAATTTCTGCTCTCTGTACTCAAAACCAGTTAGGAACTAGGCATACTGTCAGGAGTCTTTAATCACAGCACTTTGGAGGCAGAGACAGGTGGATCTCTATGAGTCTGATGTTGGCCCAGTCTACATAATGAGCTCCAGGACAGCCAGGGCTGCATAAAGAGAACATATCTCAAACAAAACAAACAGCAGGAGATGTGCTTACAAAGTGTAGCTGCATTTTTCAATATTTCCTTGAAGTTTGATACGCATTTCATTCCTGAATAATGAAATTTTCTTTAAGCTCACTGATTTTGAAAACTAAAGACCAAGGATCATCTTTGCTGATGGCCAGGTAAGCAGCTTATTCTAAACTTAGGTGTTCTTCTTCATTCTGTCTCGTTACTCAATGATGTTGAAGCTTCCTTTGGATATGTGTAAAAGATTTTAAACTAAAGAGTACTGATTCAGGGGATCCAAGACGGTGGCACTAAGAGGATACCATGTGTGATAAGCAGGACAGCAGTGACTGCACAGCGACCAACAGACCGAACTCTGGGCCTTAAAATATTTGTGATTGTGTTTCCCAGGTAAGAAGAAACCCCACGGTGTGGGAAGCAATCCGGTCCATTCTCAGGTCATGTAGCTAAACCCCAGAAGAGTTCCCAGGTCCTGGCAGGCGCTCGGTTGCCAGCCCAGAGCCACACACCTGCATACTCTGATCACTATCCCAGACTGAGCTGTGGGCCCACAACACCAGAGACTGGGTTTTCCAGTCAAGAGAAAACCCCACATTGAAGGAAGCAATCAGGCCTGAACTTAGGTCATCCAGACAATCCTTGGAAAAGGTCCTGGTGTCCAGTGGACGTTCAGCCCTCAGCCCAGAGACCTGCCTGCATGCCCAACTCACCTTCCTAGACAGAAATGTGGGCCCCAGGGCACCAGAGACTGGGTTTCTCTGTCGGGAGGAAACCCCACGGTGAGAGAAACAGCAGGGCAGATCTCAGGGCACTCAGGCGAACCCCTCCCCCATGAAAATTTCTTGGGAACTCAGGTTCCTGCAGGTGCCCATCCAACAGAGCCTGCATGCTCTACTCACCACCTCAGACTAAAATGTAGACCCCCAAACACCACAGACTGGGTCTCCCTGTTAGGAGGAAACCACAGGGTGGGGAAAACATCAGGTCCTACCCTCAGGACACCCAGCTCCAGAAAAGTTTCTGGGCTCCCGAGGCTCTAGGGTCTAACCTACTGCCAAGCATGAGAGATGTACTCACCTGCCACTGATTACCACTTGGGTCCTGGGGCACAGAGCTCCAACCTTAGACCTACAGAAGCCTGGGATCCAGGGTACCAGCCCCAGACACTGCTCCAAGGCGCAACCTGTCTCCCTAGCTAAACTGACCAAACTGTAGGCCTCCCTGCTTCTTCAAGAGGGCAGCACCCAGCAAATACAATGTAAGAGCAGCAGCAGCCCACTAAATTCAGAATAAGAAACCCAACGGCAGGGCAGCTGTCTCCAGGACTTCTCCTGGTGAGAGGAGAGCCTCCCTGACTACCAGTGACCACAGTTACCACACAGGCCCATATGCCTGAGGTAAGCAGTGGCAATTCCTGAGAAGCACCTGCCCTTCGGTGACCATACCCAAAAAGCTAAGGAGGCCTACTTCAGGAACAATCATCTTTCTGCCAAGGGGATTCTTCCCACCCCAGGATTCCAGGAGGTACACCAGAAACTAACAAGACAACACCTTAGACAGCCAGATGGGTAGAGGCCAACATAAAAGCACAACTAACAAAAGCCAAAGCAATATGACATCTCCAGAACCTGGTTATCCAGGGGCAAGCAGGCCTGGACACCTTATCATAAATGAAATCCAAGATGACTTTATATCTATGCTTATGAAGAGGATAATGGAGGAAACAAACAAATGCATAAAGAATTTGAGGAAGGATCCAAGGTGGTGGCAAAAAGCATGCACTATATCTGAGAAGCAGAGGATCTGAAACTCTGAAATTGGTGAGTGGAAGGGCAGCTGAAGCCAGAATATCCACATTGAGGCTCCCTTGACAAGAGGGGTCAACATGTGAGTTGAGACCATTTAGATCCAGGTCAACCATGGACATCTCTGGGGAAATGAAATTGGCAAACATTCCATCCCCCTACACTTCCCCTTGTCGGGCCTGCCTCCTCCTCAGCAGAGCCAGCCCACAGTACCAAAAACTCATAGCACAGAACGAGCTGCCTGGGCACTGAGACAGCAGAGGAGGGCCTTCTAGTTCCTCAGCAGCGGCTACCAGCTGTACCAGACTTCTGGTTTCCGGGTCTGGTACCAAACTTCCGGGTCCCAGGTCCGTGAGCAGCTGTACAGCCCTGCAGGACCTCCCAACCAGTGACTGTGCCAGCTGCTCAAGTCCCTCAGTAGCAGACAGCCATCATTACAGGACACCCAGTTCCACCAGGCCTACTGGGCCACCTTGGTCTGTGGACCGCTGTAGGGGGTCCTCAGGTCTTCCCAGAAGACATGCCTGCCACTCAGTTCTGATTCTGTGGCTGGACTCCCAGTGGACTGCTTTAACAGCCTAAGTTCTGTGGCTACAGCACCACTGAACAGACTAACCCTGT